TCAATGCACGCAGCGAGCGGCCATGGCAACAACAGCCAACTCTGCCGTCTGCACGCGAGAGTCGCTGCGAGTCGCATAGCACGCATACACCAGACAGCTCACACGCACACACACTCACTCACTCACTCACATTCGCGCACACGCACACCCCGGCCCGGACCCATGCTGAACGCTGAGCGCTGAACGCTGAACGCTGATGCCCGATGCCCTCTCGCAAGCAGCCTGCACAGCGTGCCCCCATGGCCGCGATGCCCATGTCCAGATCACAAAACGCAAAGGCACGCTCCACCGGCCTATGAGCCACAGCCGGCATTCTGGTTCAGCTAGCGGCTAGCGCACCAGCAAGGATCTGCGGCGCCATCATGTGAGTTCGGCGCCTCTTCCTCTTGCGAGATCTGTGATAAACGGCAGACACCTGCGCCTGTGCCTGTGCCTGTGCCTGTGCCTGTGCCTGTGCCTGTCCTGTCCTGTCCTGTCCTGTCCTGTCCTGTCCTGTCCTGTCCTGTCCTGTCCTGTCCTGTCCTGTACCAGACACACACCAGCTCTTGCACTCTCGCAACGACTCCAACGAGCATGGAAACGCGCCTAGGCAGTGCCGCTCTGCACTGCTGCAGCGATTGTGGATTCTTACCGCCCGCTAATCATTACTAATTCACCGCACTTCCTACACGTCTGTGGTCGACATAATACTGATGATGAGCTTACAGTCGGTAGCCATTCCGCCTCATCGCCGAGTCTATTTCCGGCCAGACCTGCTGCTTCGACTCGATCTGCTCTTTTCCGTACGATGATCCGAGAGATGTGCTTCGCCCTTGAGTCGTGAAGCTTGCTTTAGCCCGATCATCTGCCCGCACGCTTTCGTACACAGTACACTCCACCATGTTGATTACTGTACCCCTAACAGAGCATCCCTTCGTCGTTCAAACGGGCCCGTATAAAGTCCCATACCAGCGTCCGAGCGTCGCTTGTACTAAGAATAAGCTCGGCCTGCCGCAGCGGACTCGGTGAGATGTAGAAGTCCGCTCCGTAGTGTGCGTAACTATAGAAAACGTAATCTCGTCGTCGCCGCGTATCGCGGTTGCTAGGTCGACGGTAGTAGTAGTAGTAGTAGTAGTGCGATTTCCGCTAGTATACTAAACATCGCGAATAAGAGGTTGTATAGTCGCAATTTAATAGATTTCGCACTATTTTAATAGATTTTAACGACCCCCGCATCTCTACTAATAGATACTAAGTATATTACTAAAAATGAAGCTAAAGTTTATTAGCAAAACAGCGGTATAGCAAAAAGTGAGGTATTATTAGCGATTATTAATAAATTAATAGTAGTAATATATATTAGAGGGCAGCGGTATATAAGGCATACTACTATAGACCTATATCGCACTCGGATCGTTACTCTACTACTTATTTTAGTAAGGAAAGTAGCTATATAGCGCTAGCGAAGTCGACGAAGGCATTTAATAGCTATAAGTTACCTCCGTAGCGGCTTATAAAGGAAAACGCGTAGAGAACGCGTCGGTACCGCCTAGAACTACTAACGCCGCTTCTTTACTAAGATTTAGTAGAACTAGCGCCGCTAGTGTTCGGTTAGGTATATATAACTTCTCCGCCTATTTCTTCGACCTTTTCTTACTCGTAGTATCTACGCTCTTATCTACGCTTTTGCCCTTCTACTTCTTTAGCGGCGGCGCTATATCGTTAGTCGCTTTTAGATAGTAATAGCTCGATATAATGTCGCTTAGCAATAGCGCTTATAATAGTTTCGGCGGCGCTTTTGTTAGTACGAGAATAGCGTCTAGATATATAGTCTTAAAGTAAGTAAGAACTAGCTTAGTAAAGCCCTTTTTAATATTGTCGCCGCTCTTATAGAAGACTATTAGCATCTTCGAGATAATAACCTTACGTTACTTATCGCTCTCGTCTATATCTTATTAGTCGTATAAGCGCTTAAGTTAGAAGATTAACTTATACGTATTAGTAAGCACCTCGCGGACGTTTAATTAATAGATAGGCGCGTACGCTGCTGCCGCCTTAGTAGCGGCGTCTTCTTATACCGCTATTAACTTAGAAGCGTCTTCTTCGTAGACCTCGAAAGCGCGTCTAGCGAATATATTAACCTATTGTTACTAGTAATAATCCTTAATAATAACGCGTTTAAGTGTAAGGTAATAATGCTAGAGGTTAGCGTAAAGAATACGATATTAGCGGAAGAATTTATAGTCGTAGGTAAGCGCGCCTGCCTCCTTAGTTAATAACGGCTTCGGGTCTTAGTATACGGACTTGTCGAGAACGCGATTAATCTTAGTACTAATCTTGCGCTAAATAGGCTATAGAAGGCGTAGAAGCTAGGTCCGGAGCTCGTCGTCGTCGCTACGCGCAAGTAGGTATACGTTTAATACCTAACGCTTGCTAGTAATATCTAACCGAAGGTCTCTAAGCTCGCCCTCTTATATTATATATATCGCTACGCCCTTTAGTATAAAGTTAGCCGCTATTAGCGACTTATTGCTATCTATTTTAAAACACGCGTAAAAGCTCTCGTTTATATTAGTATCCTTATATTGTCTAACGATAGTAGGTATATTATAGACGCGATAGTAGTTTGCCTATAGGCGAATATCGCTGCCGAAGTCTTATACTAAATAGGTATAGTTTAACTCGTAATCGCTATTTCGAGGGAGGTTATCGATAGTAGCTTAGAGCGACTCTTTCGCGCTTTCGAGTAAGCGGCGATAAATAATAGCGGCGCGAAGGTATCTACGTATCTCTTAGTAGATTTTCGCGCTAAAGCGTCTATCGATAATGCGCTAAACGTAGACGTAGTATAGAAGGTATGTTATCGTCGGAAATGCTATACGAACAGCGCGTCGCTCGGCCGCCGAGTCGTCTATAAGAAGGAATTTAGGTACCTAAATACCGCCTATTTACCTACTTATAGTACGTAAAAACTCCGCTATAATATCGCTATCGTTAGTAGATAAAAGCATATATACCGCTATACGAGAAATGCTATATTTGTCCTTTACTATAATAGTATAAAGGAACTAACTAAGGTAATTAGTCTTATATGTCGCGTCTATAAACGCGATCGTACGATAGGCTTTTAGCAGTTCTATGCTAGTTTTGCTAGCATATACGACGCCGTAGGTAGTCTCTTTGTTAATTTAGCGTACAGCCTCTATATTCTCGCAAAATAGCCCTTCTATAATAATATATTAGTAGTTATTATAATAAAAAACTAGAATTAAAACAAACAAGAATCCTAAGATTTAGGGTTCGGGCTTGCTAAGGCGCGCTAGAAGCCGGACCGAGCTTGTGCTAGGGCTCCTAAATTATCTTATTAGCTCGAAGCTAAGGCTCTACGGCGCTGCCGCTTTAAGCGAAGAACTTTAAAGATTTCGAGAATCTTTAAAATTCTAGCTTTTATATCGAGAATTCGCTAGCAATCGAGTCTAATAGCTTCCTCGAGGGACTAGATAAGCTAAGCGGGGTTATACGTTAATCTATTAGTTAATCGGAGTCCGGATACGCGGACGCGACGGTCCGTATAGCTGTTCTATCGACTTTACGTCTAACCTTAATAATAATAATAAGATTAACTAACCTTATTAATACTACTCGAATACATCTTCTTTCTATGTTTGCTATACTAGCGACGCGCCGCCGAGCCTTCTATCCTTATATGCCTTCCGGAAGGCGCGACTAGAATTTAGTATATCGTATTTTATTATAAAATTGCCGCTAGCGGCCTTAAATAGCGCGTTCGCTACTAGGTCGTACTAAGCCTTTAGTGTCTTCTATACCGCACTCGGCTTATATCTATAGCATACCTCGTACCCTATAGTAGTTAATAAAGCACTATACCGGCGGAAGAGGTTAAAGTTATCGAGTTAGACCTCGCGGCTTATTTGCTAAACTCGATATACGACAATCTCCGGCTTACTAGACTCCTTATCTTCTTTACTATATATAGTGCATACCTTTATAGTTATAGGACAACCTTGCGCGCGTTTAATCTTCTTATTAAAGCGCCGCGTACTATACCCTTTAGTCCTATCCGACTTCTAGTACGGTTGTTTACGAAAGCGGCAAATATAATACGTTGTTTCTAATCTACTCTTCTCGATATAGTCCTTATTCTTCGTCTATATATTATTAATATATAGCAATAACGCGTACTATTGCTTCGCTAGTACCTTAAACAAGTCGTCGAAGCTATATAGAATAGCTCGTTCGCGCTACTTACGGAGGTTATCGATATATAGTAAGGACGCGTAGTATAAGTCTAGCTTTACTAGAACTCGAGACTTTCGAGGGCGGCGATAGTCTAAGGAAACTAACGCGTTTTTATTACTAGAATTAACCGAATCGTCCCTTTCTTCCTTTTCTATCGAAAAGTTAGCGTTCTAACCGCGCTCCGCTCTCGTTATAATCTTATACCTAGCGCGAAGTTACTCTATGCCTACGACGCTAGTATACTATCCCTACCTCCTCTAAGGTAGTTAGCAATTAATATAGTATTAGAAAAGATTAAAGGTATAATTTAAATAATAGAAGAGATAGAAACGATAGCGGAATAGTTAAAATAGCGATAGTAAGGTGCGATAGCGAGGTGGAAAACAATAACCTAAACAAAGACCGGCGCGTAGACGCGCCGGAGCGGAAGCGCATACAATCTACACCGACCGCCGCTCTGCAAGGTCTACGGCCCTGGCTTACAGTGGGTCAGGCGCTCGGACGCTGGTATGGGACTTTATACGCCTCCGTTCAAACCGTCTTTTTAGTAGACCCCCGGACACCGTTGGAACGCCGCCGGAAGGCTGTGGACAGACCAAACATTTGTATACGCGTTGCTGTGCAGGCAAAATGCCCACCCTTGCGCCACCAAACTCTCCTTCTTGGGATGAAAATGCTGATGATGAACCACAGAGGGATACCGTATACAGTAGCAGCGCGAGGAATCGAGAGCATAGTGGGCCCTAATTTATTCACAGGGTTGATGCGTTGCAAGCATTGCAGCTCATCACTTTCTCTCATCCTCGTCCACAATTCTCCGCACGGCGCACAACCCTGCTACCAGGGCCAGCAACTCGGCTTGCCGATGGTAGAGTCGGACACGTCAACGTCCTCGCAGGTAGTCTGCAAGTTTTGATGAACATGCCAACCGGTTTTGTTTTCTGTGTCGATTCGACGGACTGCGCCGCAGCGTCAAAGAATATGGACGGAGTACCTAGGTAATCGTGAACAGCCTACATCGTGTTTGACAGGGATATGCCAACTGCAAGGTCCCCTGTGCCGCACGCCATTCGCAGCTACAACAACCCGCAGCCGCACAATCAATTGTCAATTGTCAAATATGATACCGTACGAGCAACGACGTCGAGCGTCGAGCGCTTCCAGCGCTACAAGCCAAACACTGACTTCTGACTTCTCCCGACACCCTCCCGAAGGCGTGAGGCGTTGCAGTGAGGCGACTGCAGCGTCTGCAGGTGCAGCAGATTCCTTCATCAACAACCCCGCTGCGCAGGATAGCCGTAGTACAGGTGTCAAGAACTTGACATCTCGCATGATCCTCCTGTCGCTGTTCGGAGCATCTTGGCTTCTCTAGTAGAGATCGTCACACAACATAGCCGCTTGCAGATTGTTCTCGCGCGTGTTTGTTCCGATTGCCGTCGTGGCGTGGCGCCTGGAAAATGTAACGTGCGGCCTTCAACTCGAGGTGTGCTGTGCTGTGCTTGCAACCACGACACGAGATCCATTACTAGGTATTCTGCGCCTCTCAGCAGCCGCGGTGGGTCCCCCCAAAAATCGATCAACGCAGTGCTGGCGCTGGCGCAGGCTTGAGATGAACTAGGCTTGAACTGCGGCTTCGGTGGATTCTGCCACTGCCACTGCCACTGCCTGCCACTGCCTGCCACTGCTTCATGCCCACGTGCGAGACGGTCGTGTTGGCTTGAGCCTTGAGGCGAAGCGTCTCCCACTGCACACTTGACTTCGTTCTAGAATGCGATGCAGCCACAGCCGCACGCGCCTTCTAGTTCCGCACATGATGATCCAAATGCCTTCTGGTCATCCAGCCCGTGATTATTCACAACGATATGTCGCCTCCGATTTGAATCGGAAGCCACCTGACAAGCCACGACAGAGCAAACTTCACCGCATCTTCGCGCGACACGATTACTATGGAGACTCGAACAGACTCGCGGCGTCATCGAATGCGCGGCGCCGCGCGTGACACAAACGTAGCATGACAAGACATGCTGGCCTTCTTGACCGACACTCTCTCCTCTCGCTTCTCGACCTCGGGTGGCACCGCATCTGCTACGTCCCTGTTTTGCTGGTCGCAGCGTCAGCGTCAGCGTCAGCGTCAGCGTCAGCTATACGGAGGACATCACGGGGTAGTCGCATGTAAGGTTCTTCTCCTTACTATGCATAACCAGGTTCTTCGTGGTTGTTACGGTGTTGACGCTCAACGCTACAGATAGCTTCTTCAAGACTTCAACATGTCATGTCTTCAGTGCCGTCTACCGGGCCGCAAAATGCCCGAGATAGGGCAGGGATTGATAGCAAAGCAATCGACGTTCTTGGGCGAGTAATCATATAATAATAATAGACAATTACGGGTCTTCGCTTCTTGCTGCTGTGGTGCACGGCGATTGGGATCGGATAGAATCTTCGCACGCACCATTGCAAATGAACACCGCCCGGCCTACCGAAAGCGTTTCTGCTACCTGATAGCCTCCGTCAGGAACACCACGTGTCAGGGGGCGCCGTCCATAACTGACATTCAAGGCTCATCAGCTGCCATAGCGGTGCGATGCGTCCGTGGCTATCGATATACCGAAGCCGACCCATGTGCTTGCAATATTTAAATGGCCCTCTACTACTGACCAACTCGACCTGGTCGCTTTTAGCTATCGGGCCTCTGTTGGGGTTCCGGCATTGCAGGCTTCCTCCAAACAAACTCCCGACCACAAGCTCCCGACCTCCAACCCAATGAGCCTCTTTGTTGGCATGTCGTTGACCGTTATGCCCATGTCAGTACATGTAATTGCCAATTCTCAGGCACCGCCGGAAAGGAGCAAAACGGGTAATGTGCGACAGGACAATGCAAGTGTTACAGAATTCCCGGGCAACTGGATTCAGAAAGGCGCCAAAGACCATGTGATCGAGTGGTTATGCGGGTCATCGGAGACCTCTCAAAGCGGTGCTTGGAAGCTCCGAGTCAGGCTTTTGCATACCTATTATACTCTGAGCGCTCATCACTGTAACCAGCAGGTCCACGACATGTGTGCAGCAAATACTACGTGCTGCAGCCGTCCATACCGTCAAGGAGACAATAGTCGCTCTGACCGGCTCGAGCAAAAGCGAAAAGAGCAGCAGCAAACGACTAATGAAGCAGCCATGTGATGACACCGACGAGTAATAGTGCGGTTTGAACTTTGCAGGTATTGTAAACAAGCCCAAGCGCGCATACGAGCGCTTCGTCGTCGACTCGTCGGAGCCGCGAGACTAATGACACCTTTTGCTGCCAAATTCAATTCTTGAAATCCGGCACTTACATCTTGGGCGAGATTGGCGTCGTTCGTTCAGGAAGCGGATACTGCGGACTGCAAGACATCTTGCGCAACCAACGAACACGAAACCTCCCTGTGCCGATATCACACCTTTGCTCTATTCGCCGAGTCGCTCCGTTATGTGACGTCGATCAGCCGAAGCCCGCGATTGTGGCAATCCTGAGGCTGCCATCTATGCTTTTGGTAATAGTAGGCGTGATAGAAGCTTTTGTACGCCTCCCGCTACAAAATCATCACGGCTGTTTCTTGCAGCTTTCACTTCTCCAGTAGTCGGCTCGGCTTCGGTATAGATCTTCACAAGAGGCAACTTATTTCCGAAGCACATCGCGAGGCAGCGGTGCCTATACAGCCTGAGCCTCTGGGTTTGGGCCACACAAAGCTCTCGTCTAGGCCTGTCAAAGCCTTGCGAACTTGCCAAGGACGAATCAAGTGTTCAAGATGGCCTGTTAAGCGAAGAAGTCAGAGGTCGGCATAACGTCCAGTTGTCATCGGAATTGGCTACACCCTGTAGCGATGCAACCTTGATATATCTCTCCGGTCTGTTTCGGCGACGACGAGTGGTTCGACTCGTACATAGCATCCTTGACGACATCCTAGATGGCGGCCTTGGAGATTAGCTGTAATCGCCAAAGCCCCATGGCGATTCTAAATGCCTGCCACAGCTCCAGCTCCAGGAGGTCATCTACCTACTAGGATGCTAGGAACAACCGCATAGAACCGTGGGAAACCGCACTGTTGGAAGTCAGCAATGACCGCACGATCTGCCGCAACCCTGTTACGACCAGCACGTCAAATCCTGAGAAGACTTCCCTTCGCGGCTTCGCCCTCGAACGACCAGCATGCATCCAGCATAGGCCTGTCTCTCCTACTCGTTTACGTGCAGAGCCGACTCGGCTCTTGCATACTCAAGGATGTTTGACAGCGTTCTCCTGCAAGGTATAGGGCGAAAACGAAAAGAACTCTGCTCGAGGACTGGAACGAGTGCAACAATCACACAGGCAGACGTAGCCGATCCGAAGCCTCCGCGCCCGCGAAGAAGCGCGACCTTGCCCACCTTGCGAACTCACTACTGCGAACCCAAGATAAACTCACAGTAACTCGTCAATGCGGATTCGGAAAGTACTCCGGAGCCATCTGAGGCGCTCGCTGCCAATTAATGATAATCTCGCACGATGCTCTTCTTCATCAGCAGCAGTTGACCAGCGGCGACAGAAACACCCACGCCAAGGCCACGCCAAGACCACGCCAAGTGCTGCAGCACCGGACGGCAACAACCTGCTGCATTGACATGGGACGATCAGAATGCTTAGAATGCTTAGCAAAACACGGCGGAGCACAGCTGATGCACTCGACTAATCATGAAATTCCTTGTTGACGAGTGGGCGGCCTTTCCATCATACTACAGGCCCACAGGGTCTAATGCCTCCTAATCATTTCAATGGGTTGTAGACGAACTTCAGCGAAAATCACAGCAAATCTGCCTTCAACGAGCAGGCGGGAGCCAAGCACTATTCTGCTAATAAGCGGCTTCTCGAATGCATAAGACTCCCTGTACAACTCATGCCCATGCCCATGTGCATGCAAGACGTGCTGCTCAACCTCAACGTTGGTGCAACCGTGCCTCCGAGCAGACTGAAACGACTCACCCTATAGCACAAAACTTGGCCTGCGAGCATACAGCTTAAAGTATAAGTGCATCACGTCGCAACCCTCTTCGTTTCACCTATTCAGGCATGTCCAAAAATTTAACATCTTCCGAGATACGACAGATCTCGATCCAAATCATTCGAGAAGGAAAGGAAATGTCCGATACTGCGAATATACGATTTGACCTATAGGTAGTTGCCGACGCTCAAGTGTATCCTCATGGTCTCGTATACCATCTTCGATCTCTTTTTGCTTTCTCGAAATTGAACACCGAATACTGCATCTCCTATTTTTTTTTGGTACGCCTGTGCGCCGGTCTTCTTGCCGACGGCAAGGGAACGAGTCTGATGACGGAGCAACGTTTGCAAGGCCATCATCACCACGGAACCCGAGCAACAAGCTGAGATGTCGTGCCCACCCACAGATTCACAGAAGCCGTTGGTCTTGACCGGAAAGGTGAAACGCGAGATAGGACTTGGTAGAATACCTAACTAGATCAGATCCAGTAAATGCCGCACCCCATCCACGAGGGAGGAGGCAAGAAGGCTTGCATAAACAATACCGGCCACACTTTCCGGTGCCGTGGTGCGGTGCCGTGGGGGCAAAAAAAAACAGAAGCAGGGCGCCTGGCGGATTCCTAAAGACCAATCCTTCCAGGAAAAAGAAGAGCGGTGCGCTGCGCTTTTGGTCGTGTTTCGTTGGTACAGTACAGCACTCCGCTTCTTTCTCATACGCCAATCAAGATCTATGAATTGCAAGCTACAGTTTCACTTTCAGGACTGCAGCGCAGCGCAGCGCATGATTATTGTTGTTGGGCCGCAAGACACGAAGAGAAAAATTTTGCGGAAAAGGGGATAAGCTCGTGGCGCTGAAGCTGTGATCTTCCTTCATCATTAACACAAAGTCGTGGTTTCGTACTATTCGTAGCATAGCTCACGAAGGACTACCTCCGTTCAGGCCTTTGTGTATTAAGGATTACGTTCCGCGGTGGTGAATTGGTCAGATTGCACGTGATAGATTTAAATAAATTAGGGCTAGCTTCCGTCTTTCCGAACAACTAATTACACACCACTCCACCTAATCCTTTGCCTAAAGGCCTAAAGCCAAACCGCTAATTTTTATCGTAGATTCCGCTATTAAAATACGATCTCGCTATACTAACGACAACTAGCAAATCTAATACGAGGAGGTTGTAGCCCTACTAATTGCGAGTCTAACGATCTAAAAATCTCGTATATGCGACGTGTACGCGCTAAGTTATACTAATTTAGCCGAGCCTACTTCTATAGCTATCCGCCTATCTAAACATACTAATTCTTAATATATCGCTATATACTAAGTCAATACCTAGAGGTCCTTAATTAGGGCTATCCGACTAACTTCTTCGCTATATGTACCTATACGCGACTTCTCGCTATCGAGTTCTCGTCTACGTCGGAAATAGTAGTAGCAATACCCCCCTTTATTTTTAACTAAACTAACTCGAGGCCCTTCGGAAGGTACTTCTAATCGACTTCCTTGCTAGACATAACTACGCCCGGTATAGTAGTACTAAGTTCTCGTTACTTTGCCGACGCTAGTTACTAGCGACTTAGAAGGTTCGAAATAGATTATTACTAACCTACCTAAGACCTATATAAGCTCGTATACCTAGTATTTCCGAATAACTTTACTATAACCGGTATACCTCTACGGACTATCGTTGCTAAGATACAGCTAAGTAGTAGATGCGACTCGAGCTAGTAATTCGAGTCGGTACTCCGAATACTAAATACTACTAAATACTACTAACTACTACTAACTACTACCTATACGACCTGTACGACCTGTATAACCTATACGACCTATACGACCTATACGACCTGTACGACTTGTATAGTATCGCTAATATAAGCGACTCTAACTTAACTAATTAACCTAACACTTCGGAGCTCGATCGTCGTCTAGGCGGAGGCGCTTAGGGCAAAGGCGCTTAGTATACTTCTTCTTCTTATCTCTCTAATGTTCTAGCTATATCCGAGCTCGATCGATATTTAGGCAGAGGCGCTTAGGGCGGAGGCGCTTAGTATGCTTCTTCTTCTTATCTCTCTAATGTTCTAGCTATATCTAAACTCGATCGGCGTAGCGAAGACAATACCGCCTTACCGACTTGACTAGAATATAATAAAGATAAAGACGAGGATATAGTTACACTAGAGGATCTAGATCTACTAGGACAGACGTCCGACCTGCTAGTCTATATAGTCGATTAAGATCGCCGCCGCTAGCGCTAGTATTATAGCGACTATTACAACTCTAAGTACATACTAGGCGATAAAGATCGCTTAGCTGCTCGACGCTAGCCTATCCGCTAACCTATCTATTAGCCTAAGCGGTCTGCTCGCTGCCTAAGAAATGCCAATCTTAACGTTATATACGCTTAGCTAGTTAATAATAGTCTAACTAAAGACGAGGATACTAATGTAGATAAAGACTCGTAGAGCGAGGGCGAGTTAGAGATCGAGAGTTGTGCTAGCAATGCCTCTAACGACGACGATAACGATTAGCCTAGATAGCGGCCTAGTAAGCGCGGCCTCGATAAGATAAACGACGAGGAAGAGGGCGTACTCGATCCTACTAGCCTCCGTAGTCCACGTCGCACGCTAAAGTAGAAGTACACTATTGCTATGTAGCAACTCGCGTAGCTTAGATTGCTAATAGAGAAGATAATGTTTATATAGTTCGGTAAGGCGGGTACAAAGACCTACCGTAAGCGTGTATAGGCTATTTAAGATATATTGCCGAATAAGCACCTTATTAGTGCTGTTTAGTTATATACTAAGGTTAAGAACTTAATTAGCAAGAAGTTCTTTAATACGTATAAGCTAGAAGACAGTCTTGCCGCACTACGTCGCCTATCCGAGATATACGATATAATCTATAATATCGCCCTAAATTAGTACCGCCTTCTCGAGGATTTTATGCTGCTAAATACCCGTAAGGATACTATATAGCGAGCAATATCGTTCGAGGACAAGCGGAATATAATACAGAAGCGTATCTGTACGATTACGTATATAGTAGTGTATTTAATAGCACTAAAGCGGGCCTCCTAGATACTAAAGTCGCTTAGCCTTCTATTAGTATATATTAGCAATCTTCCCGCACCTCTTATCGATACCCTCTATAGTATAGGTCTGCTTCCTACGTACAAGACTATATAAGCCTTAATTAAGAAGAATGCTAACACTTAGCGGCTAAAGATCTTAGAATAGGCTAAGCTGTATATCTAGTAGATCTGCTATAACAACTTCAATCGCTAGGCTAAGCGGAAGGATTAGGTATATAGATATTAGTTGCTATGCTAGAGCACTTGCTAACGCTAATATAGGACATTGCCGACAACAATAAACAGGTTAATATTACTAACTCGTATATCGCCCTCTGCGAGGATATACTAAAGGGGGGTTTAACGTAGGATATACTAGACCGCTCGAAGCTAGTCCTAACTAAGAACATTATCCGAAACATCGACAATAATAATACTGTTATAGCAGTCGAAATGCACTAGCTCTACGAAGCTTGTATATATATATTTAGTAACGCGATTAAGACGATCTTTAAGGTAGCGAAGGATACCGGCAATCTAGTCGAAGAACTAGTATATCCGGAGATTGACTATAGCTTCCGTAGTAAGACCTAGCTCCTAGCTATACCTCTATCGTAGAATAACGAGATCTCTAATAAGGGCACTGCCTTAGTATACGACGATATCTACTAAGGCAACCTTAGTCTAAAGCCCGATAATCCGATCTTCGACAATAGGTTGATTATTAACGTTAGTAATTAGCTTACTATCGAGCGTATACTAGCTATAATCTTTAGCGGTGTCGAGAACAAGGCTATATACGATAGGAAGCAGTATGTCCTTCTAGTGCCCGCTTAGTTCTACATCTTTATAAACCTATGCTTTACACTATTCCGTACCTATTAGAATAAGAACAAGGCCGGCGATCGTATAGACTTCTCTCTATTATCGGATGTCGATTTCTAGGGTATAAAAGAGGTTAATCCAAAGTCGCTAAAATTCTTCCGGATATAGCGACTGCTAAAGCGTTGCTTTAAGGCCCGTACTGTCGCTATATTCCTCTAGATTATAGTTAACCGTAGCTATATCTCTAAGGATCTTGCTAGTAAAGGTAACTAGACCCGGCCTAAGGTCGTTAAGTAGGCTATTGTCGAGAAGATCTCTGCTACTAAGTATATAGACATCCTAAAGGAAATGCACAAGCTGCTCTTGTTACCCGAGGCATAGGAGGGTATGCCTAATCGACCTGCCGGCGATAATAGCGCTATACTAACTAGGCTAGATGCGGCCTTTACCTCTATATACAGACTAATAAAGGAGATCTCCTTATTCCTACGCGTTCGCTATACTGTCCGTATCTAGGACGTCGGTTACCTTCGTCGATGCGTAGACTATACTATCCCGATGTTCCTTAGAGCTAGACAGAGCAACTATAGTCGTCTAATAACCTATTTCTATTTCCTCCTTAATAAGGGTAGTACTAAGGACCTATAGAAGGCGGTCCTTGCTACTACAACCGTTAATTAGTCTAGAAAGAAGGGCTATACTGTCGGTAGTAATAAGATAATTAAGCTTATTAACTATGCCCTATCCGAGGACTATAATCGCCTTGCCAATTCGACTTATAGACTTGCTGCTGCCTTTAAACGAGTATCGATAAACCGAGAGGCATCTCGCCTTATCCGCGATATGTTTAGGGAGAATTCTAGTGTCTATCGGACTAGTTACTACACTAATAAGGACATTAGCGCGGGCGTATTCAATCGAGCTAATAAAATCCGTATCGATAGGTTCGCGAAGTAGTAGTACGGAGATTTCACGCTCTCGGACGATATCTAGAATATCGGTATAGATTAGATACTATTAGTCGTCGAGAACTTTAACGCTACTAACTAGAACTTTATTCGAGGCCGTACTACGGTGCTAGAATCTAATGCCTTAGAGGGTCCTAATACTGCAGAGCGCCTAGATAGTGTTAATTACGGTCTAATTGAGGATGTAGTACTTGATCTAGAGCGAGATAATGTATAGGTTTAGCTTGCAGATAGTACTACTTAGCTATTCGAGGGTATAGAAACCTAGGACCTAACTAGCATAGGCACTAGCGCTAGCGCTAGCGACGGTAGAGTAGAAGGAGCTAATATAAGTCTCCTCGCACGTATAGGTAGCCTTAGTAGTAAGGGTAGCAGTAACTTTTAAAAGAACAGAGTATAGAGTATAGAGCATAGAGTATAGAGCACGGAGTATAGAGCATAGAGTATGATATTTAATGTATTAAGGAAGGACTATTCTTGTCTAAGCACTAAAACAACGCCTGTAATATCGTCGTTGTCCTATAGCAGCTCTAGATTGAAGTAGTAGCGGTAGACTAGAGTGCGTGCCTTGATAGCTAGCTAGGCTAGGCTAGGCTAGGCGTATAATAATAGCTTAATAGCTAGCTAGGCTAGGCGAGTGCGCGCCTAGCGGCGAAGTAATAGCGGTAGACCAGATTGCGTGCCTAGTAGACTAGAGTGCGTGCCTAGCGGCGAAGTAGTAGCGGTAGACCAGATTGCGCGCCTAGTAGACTAGATTGCGTGCCTCGTCGGGGATGTTTATAAAGTCGAAGGGTTTAGCTAGGCGTACGATAATAGTTTGATAGCTAGCTAGGCTAGGCGTACGATAATTGCTTAATAGCTAGCCAGGCT